CCCCAAAACCCCAAAACCCCAAAACCCCAAAACCCCATGGTTCTTAAAATTGGATATAGCTGATATGAGCTGCGAGAATACTTAAACAATTAATTGACTTAAGCTTATAATAATTAATTACAATTTCATGAAGATCCAATCTCTTACAAGCATTTTCCTACTTGTGCTACTCATATTTATTGTTGGAACTGAGGCTTAACTCTTTGACAACTACAACACCATCGTCAGTTCAGCAGCTGTTTTTGTTGGAAGCTCTTTCTATGAGACCTTCAAAAACCCAAGAATCTTGAGAGAAGGAGGATGAATGGTTGCAGAGACTCATTGAATTGATGAACAAGTTAACTCACTTTTATTAATAGTTGCTGCTTTAAATAAGCCCTAATTTCTAACTAAAATATTAAAGATATATTTCTTAGTCTTTCTTGATATTATTGCATTCTCTCCTCTTAAGACATCCCTGGCGTTAAAATCTTCAAATTACTTTTTTTAAGATTTCTTATTCATGTTAGTATCATTCAAATTCAATAATTCTTTTGTCTTTTCTATAATCATATTACGAGCTAATATATAACTGTTTGAACTAACAAAGTAGTTTGTAATAAGAATACATATCAAAATGAGATTATATTTAAAGATTATTTCAATAAGGGAACTTTTCATTTCTATAAATTAATCTTTTGCTTTATGTAGAAATTTTAGAAAGGATATCGTATGAGTTTTTCTCCTCTTAATCGTTAATAATATTTAAATTCTCTTGTTTTACTTTTAAATATCAATATTACAAGGAATGCTAATACTAAAAATTGCAAAATACCATACTCTCAAAGATTTTATTTCAAATTAGTTTAGATTTATGTATACAAACACAGAATAAGAAACAAAATACAAATTTTCAATAGAAAGTACAAGAGTAAATTTATTCCTTTCATTTTTAACTTATTTATTAGAGTTATTTTAGAATTTTCTTAAAAGAATTATGACGAAATAAGAATGTAAAGAGAAATAACAAGTACTAATTTTCTTTAAGATAGCAGAAGAAAATATAGAAATTATTACAGGATTTTATTTTTTAAGAAATGCTTTATCTCCTCAGTAATAATTTATGCATTGATGTTTATAATGCAAGAACTATTATCTGATTATTTGCAAAGTCTATGCATAACTCTATTGAAAATAATTTTATTTATGATAAATTCAATATTCCCTACTATCCTTTTCCTTTGAAGAACCAGGGGTTTTGGGGTTTTGGGGTTTTGGGG